TCGACTCGACTTCTCAGATAGAAGTTTCACTCATCGGGTGAAGTTTATTCTTCGTTACTCTGTGCTAGGGTTCACCAACGTAGTTTGATATGATATGCAAGTCCAGAAACGGATGCCAGCTCAACATGTATCACATGACGTGAGGGGTTATCGCGACGATGTCATGACAGCCTAATGAACTCCAGCTTCGTGTTGAATGATGCTACACGGAAGTCTGCTGGACTAGACCTTATGGTTTGTCAAATTTAAACGCATCAGACAGCAGGGTCCACCGTAATGTCTTTCTTGCTATTCCTTCCAACAAACTAGTCCCAAGTTTACCACAGTGGTGGGTTTTATGAACGACTAAGTGGTTTTAGGGAGAGGTGTTCACCAGATTGTAGATCTTATTGGAACACAGCACACTACTATTTCAATATTCCCGAGGTTTTATTGCGCCGTTTTTATGGTGTCTGCTCAAACGATCTTTGAAAGTGGTCCTCCTTGAGAAAGATCACCTCAAACTCATGCTCACTGATTCGTTTTGCGCGACTGGACCTCTTTCGGGGGGATAGGGTATTGCATCACTTAAACTGGGACCAACAGTGGGGGCAAAAAATTTAAGTCAGATGGCTGTTCCAGTAAAAACCAGCTTACTTTTTACATTGACTTTGTACTCTCCAGTCCCGGGATGCTTGAATATTTCCACTTGAATTGTCAAGAATCCGACAGGATCTTCGTTGGCAAACGTTTCTGTGAACAAGCCAAAAGGCTATTAAACTCAGGAGGACGGTTTTAAGTCTCCAAAAGGCTGAAGTTTACGGGTGCTGTTGAGAAAAGGCTAAAATGCATTTATATGATTAGGTAATTTTTGAAAAAAAGTAATTGTTGAGATCAATAAACTTTTCATCATTCCCCAATGGAAGGTTTAATCGGATGAACCTGGCCAATTTGGTGACCTGCTAACTTGGCCTGATGAAGCTTTTGTGCCAAAAACAAAACGTTGTCCAAATAAAAACTACCGATTGT